GGGACAATTTATCGTCACTGAACTGAAAAATAACTGCAAACACACAATTTGAGAATAAAACATTGGAATGAACTTTGATTTTGGACAGTGGTGAGCTTCTGGTTTGATCAAGGGTCTGCGTTTAAGTTGGATCATTCTGAGGATTTTTGGATAATTCTCAAAAGGACCAGAGCATGTTTTGCAATTTCTGCATTTTTGCTACTTCTGATAAAAAAAAAAAAAAAAAAAGACACAAATAAAATCCCACACACAGACTTTGTAAAATCTTTAAATCAAAAGATGCATAGCTCAGAGTGGTCTCATGTATGCTAGTTTAACATGGTATTGTTACACTGCATTCAGTGTGATTAAAACGCCTTGTTGGTTCTTTATAATACACTTCAAATCAAATAATACCAAGGGTTGTTCCATAAAGTTTCCCTGGATGTGCAGTGCAATAAAAGCTTTAAATCTCTACTGCACTAAACAAACATTGGTGATAACTTAGCTGCAGTTCATATTCATTATTGCCTGTTATTCCCACTAACTTTTATAAAGTCAGGGGACTCCCTGTTTGTTTGTTTGTTGGAATCTCTTAAGAACCTCTTAAGACAGCAAGTTCACTTTTAAATGCTTCCAGCAATGCCCAGTGCTCGTAAGGCGCTACGTTCCTCCAGTTCTCCAATGACCTTGTCTTTTAGTGGGCCAAGTTTAGGGACGGGGTTTATGTTATGCACCTGCAGTTATGTGTCTCAAATGATACTATGACTTCTGATACTCACACAAAACTGTTTGTCTGGCCCAGTGCAGAGGCCCTGAGGAAAACCCCCGTCTGTAGTTGTCCGACTGGGCTCTTTGTTGAGTTTACAGGTAGAAATCTAACAACAGCTCAGTTCATTATGAACTAATGGATTTTGCTGTCTCTGGCAGACCTTGGGGAAATAGTTTTTTGCACCCATCGCAGGGTGGCTGTTCTCTCGTTTGTGTTTTATTGAGTCTATCGATCACTGTTTCAGTCTCATGCCCTTTCTTTTTCTCCTTGCCTCTCTGTCTTGTCTTACCTTACTCTTAATCATAGATGCACACACACACACACACACACACACACGGACTTCATAAACATATTGTAAGTATACACCTACACAGGCAACACAGTGTTGAAAAGAAAGTTAATGGGCTGTAGATCCTGTAGGCTGTGGTTAAAGAGAGGTGTGGGATTACAACTTTAAGTCTCTGATGCGTGGGCACACAAACTATAGCGGTATTTTTATTTTCCATGGTACCACCTCGCTGTTTGCTCGTCAAGATAAATTCACAGTGGAATAACACAACACTTTCTAAAGCCTTCAAACAACAATAACAAAAACAGTACCTCTTTTACTCTATGACTAACATATTCTATCAACGTCACATGGCCATTTTCTCCCATAACTTTTACATTCAAGAGCAGAACTACTTTCACTTAATAGCTGCATGACCAAAATCCTACTTTCTGTTGCCTTCATTGCACTTACTTGTCTCTGAACCTCGCAAGATCCTTTACTTCGCATTCATCGTAAAAAGCACTGCTCTCTTTGAGTCTTATATTCTACTTCGTCGTTCAAATTCGACATCAGACTACTTCACATTCTCTGTTCATGTCTGTCTACTTGCAGTATCACCATCGGACAACTTACTGTGGCATTCTTCAGTATTAAGGTAGTAAGGACTGGTTGCTTTTTTTGAAGGAAATCTATGAAGGATGTGCATCTCTCTGATGTTTAATATGATAAAGTTGTATCTTTGGACAAGAGGAACTTTATTGTGGTTCTAAGAACCTAGCTGTAAGAACATTGTAAAAACTAAGAACGATCAAAATACTTAGACACCGTTTTGAGGGATGTTAAGCTCCGATTTCAGAGTAGATACTCTACCAGCCCAAGAGGAACCAGTGATTGGTCCAGACATAAGTGTACTTCGTTTGGTCAAGCTCCGCCAATGCAGCACTGGCAAACGCTATGTATTTTTTTAATTAGCTGTTTAAACAACAAAAACACAAACAATAGCTAGTGAAGAATAAAATATAAGAAAAAACACAGACAAATGGACCGATAGTGAATTCCAGGCTTTACTGGGGATGTATGTGATATAGGAAATGTTTTCATTTTGATTCCTCCAAAGTGACAGTATTTGGCGTTGCATAGGCAAACAGAGAAAGGTATGTAGTTCTTGAGGAACCTGCCCAGTGGCCAGTTCCCCTTAGGGAGTCTCCAGAACGTTGTGGTGCGAAAAAACCTAATTAGTCAAAAAGTCAATAAATAGAAAAATAATTGGCAGCTATTTTGATAATTAATCATTTTTATTGATTTTCAAGCAAAAATGCCCTAAATTGCTGGTGCCAACTTCAGGAATGTCATAATTTGATACTTTTCTCTTTTGTATAATTGTAAACTGGTTTATCTATGGGATTTGGACTCTTAGGTGTCAAAAAATATATTTTAAGATGTCCTTCTATGATGTGGGACACTATAATAGACATTTGTCACAAATCAATAATCAAGAAAATTATTAGCAGATAATGAAGAATTGATCATTAAAGGAATTTTTAGTTGCAGCCATACTGTATAGACTAACAGAAAAAAATACATCAATCAATCATGTCTCATTTTGGCATGCAAGATTCCTTTGTTGTCACTCAGTCACTGCTTTGCACCTCCAAGTGCTTTCCTTTTATAGAACGGATTGAAATGTGAACTGGCATGAAGAAGCTTCCAGATGGAATACACAAATATTGAAAACAGTATGAGTCCATACAGCTAAAATAAGCCTATAGGACTGCATACTACCTGCTGTGCAAACACTTTGATATCATACAGTAGTTTGAAACTATTCAAGGCTGTACCAAAGTCACCAGGGAGATGGAGCACTGGCTCGTCAAAAATAGAAATTTGTAGGTCTGCAATGCAAAATACACTAACAAGGACAAAATATCCAAATTTGTACAGAATGATATTCCCCCTGGAAAAACCCAGAAAATTAAGACTTAATGAAGAAATGCAAAGCTCTCCAACTAATTTCCTTCATAGACCCCCCCGTCATAAATAGCATGCAGTGCCTTACATGCCTCTTTGTCTTACATTAATTATCATATCCACATGCCTCATAAAACCCTGCCAAGAATCTTGCTTACTTTGCTGCAGAATTTCCTTATCAACATTCCTCAAGAATACACCTGCTAATCCTTCACTCTTTCTAAATAACTGCCTCTATGCGCTGACCTCTTTACAATTCAGCACGCTATTTCAGACTTTTCAGACTCTCACCCTCAATGCAGCACATTCGTAAAGCCTCCGTTTCACATTCTGTAACCCCCTATCTTCACATTCGAACCTCCTAGAGATTATCTGCGATTGTTAGCGACCATATAGGCTAATGAGCATTTTTATAGTTTGCCTTCAACGTCTCCTGGTGTTGCTCTTCCTGACATAACAAGGGACTCACTGCTGTCTGTGTGTGTTGGTGGTATCCATGCAAATTCACTTTGACTGAACATTGTGGTGACATTTTTACCCCTCAGTGGGTTTCCAGAGCAGACAGCACCCAACAGCAGCCGGCGTTGACGTGACAACAACCAATACCCTGACAGTTCCTATTTAGAGGCCTCAACTTCTATCAGGTTATCACATATTTTTCTCAAATTCTATCTGATTGAGAGACACAGTGCACACCAAAATGTTATTTGATTGCACCTAATGAAATTATTAAATTAATGAATTTCTATGAATTTGGTTGCCATTAGGTTGCCCAAAGATCCTCAGTGATCACTGAAAATGCTATGCAAACGGATGTTCCCCTAAGTATCACCTATACACAGACACAGACGGATCAAAGACACAGTGTCATGCCCTGTCTGAAGGACATGGTGGAGGTTACCCACAGTATCTCTATCTATCCTCTGTACTGGCATTCAGTCACACACAGAATCTCCATACTGTAAAAGACGTCCACACACAGGGGTTAAAACACAATCACACCAAAACATTCGCTCAGACAACTCCATTTTTGAGGGCGATTTCTTCCAAGGTGATTTGATAAAGCTAGTGAGTGGATAAGCTGCCAGACATCCTCGGAATAACAAGTGCTCCAGCTCAGAGGCTCCTCTGGCTTTGATGTTGAGCTTCAAACCTGGCTTTTGCTGACAGCAGATGCTGAGTGAAGTACACACACTACAGCTCCTTTTTTCAGGTGACTGAGTTCAGATCCACCATGGATTTAAAACATGACCCAGTTGTTAATTTGTAGCCTTTGAGGAGCTAGTGCAATAAGAAGTGGTCACCTGGTTGAGAAGTGGGGGCTGGAAAGAGAGTTGTGCTCATGCTCTCACTCATTCACTCTTGTTTTTTCTTTTTCTTCACTGAGATTTATCTTGTGGCTTGTTGGTACAATATTGCTCAGGAGTTTAAGAGTCTGGAATAAAAACTATAGTAATGTATGCTCTGTTCTATGGCTCATCTTCCCTGGAAGAATAGTGGATTAATTTAATTTTTACATGACACTTCAAGCTGCTCCTTTCTTGTGAGCTTAATATATGTTTTGTCATACACATCTTCTGGAAATTCTGAAATCCTGAGCGTGCAACACGGTCTCACAGAAAAATGTGAAATTGACCAATTAACCTATTGACAATGTAGGTGGCACAAAATGTGTCAAAATTGTGTGTTGGCAACTCTAAAATGATGCCAATGTTAAGTGTATTATGAACACAGTTTCGTTGTGAAACATCATTTGCTAGGTGTAGGGAAAGAAGGACACCTGGTTAGATTTAGTGAGCACTGGTTAAGTTTGGGAAAAGATTGTGGTTTCAGTAAACTTACATGGGTATGTAAAGTACCTACATTAAGTACTTTGCATAGTTACATTAACACCGTAAAGTCATGGAACTACGAGGACTTTTTGTTTCACAAGTGACACTGACAGTGGTTTCCTAGATGAAAGTCCATGTTTGTTTGACCCATCCCCCATTCCTCCCACCCACCCTATGCTGATTTTTTTCGCTCTGTTTACTTAATTTGTGTGTCCACCACAACAAAAGATCCTTATTGATTGCAGCATGTGATGGCATGTACTTTACGCTCCCCACATAATGTGTTGATAAGACTTTGAGTCCATTTCACGTATTTCTATGAGACCGTGCTGGATCTTGTCATTATTATACTGCTTACCATTACTTTTAATATTGTCATCACTGCCTTGCTATTGTTTTACTCTGTTTTGAGCAACATTATCATCTGTGTCACCCGTGTCCATTTCATCTGAGCTGTATTCCATTTTTTATCACAAGATTGGTTGATATATTCAAACAAAAACAAAAAACGTAATAAGTGCCGTTAGTTTTAACGTGATAAACTCCTCTTAAAAAGTAGCTGTTTTTTTTTTTTTTGCCCACACACTTTCTCGTCCCCTCCTCTGCCTCAGCTGACCTGACCTGAACCAGGATCCCTGCAGATATCTTTCCTCTGTGAGCTGTTTCATCTCACTTTGAGCTTTTAGTTGACCTTGGTGATTAGCTTAGCTGGTCGGCAGATGGTGGGTGGAAAGCTGGCTGAGCCACACTGCCACCAACTTTAGGGCTCAAGAGGGGGCCCATGGGTGAAGATTATGATACAGAGTCAGCGCTGGAAAATGCATGAGTGGTGAATATACAGTACAATGGAGCAGACGGTTGGTAGGCATGTGAGAAAAGATGAAATTGTCAGTGGGACAAAGAAGCTTGAGCATGACAGAGAAATGAAGGAGACTGTGCATTAGGAAGTCACAGGGGTGCAGAGAAAGAGACAAACAGTGGGAGAAGGGAGGTGGGGTGGGGGGGTGGGAGTAGTTCTGGCTCAGGCCCTGGGCTTCTTTTCTGTGGTGACAGGTGAGGGGGGGGACTCCTCTCTCAGGCCTTCTTGGCTGCTGATGGACTGCTGACCCTTTATCCCTCAGCATCTTGCAGTGCACTTCTGGAATTTGGTGGCCAGTGAGGGGCCATTCCCTCAGCCACCCTCAGTGCATAATGGGCGGCTGTATTCCCAGTGTCACTGCTGCCCTTTGTCCCACCCTCTGTCTCCTGTGCTACGAGGCATCAGCCTTGGGAGCTTCTTTCCGTCCATTCTTTAGGGACGGCGAGTCTGACGTCTTCACTGTCTTCCGAGGAGGACTCACTGGTTCACTGGCGAGCTCGTGAAGCGATGGCTCCTTATACATCGCAACTGTGAGACAAAGATAGAAGCTGTTGGTTAATAATAAAGGATGTCATTAATAAATAAGAAACTGGTCTGAATTGTGCTAAAGTGACACAAAGGACACAAACCCTCTATAACTTTAGGCAGGAAGTGTGCAGCTCCTTTGGTCTTCTTTACTCGGTTGCCCTTCATGACCTGCCCATCACGGTTGATACCGATATACCAGGAGCGGCCAGACTGGGTCTGGCGATAGAGCATGGAGGAGTATGTGACGTAGTAGTTCTCAAACACACTCTCCTTGAACTTACACTCTGGAGTGAAGTGCTCCTGAAAAGAAATATGCAAAGGGGAAGAGGTACATTCACATTAGCACTCAAAAAAATGTGCAAGTGTAGCTCTACGCTAACTTTCTTCCAAGGAGTAGTTGTGCTCCAACATGAAAAACATTAGGAGAATAAAAAGGAATTTATGAGCATGGTGTGTGTGCTCCTTCTCCTGGTGTGCAATTATGATGATGAAACCAGTGGAGGACTATGAAAGTAACATGAGTGGTGGAAGAAGTATTCAGATCTCTTACTTAAGTAAATGTAAATAGTCTGTTATAAGTAAAATTCTTGCGTTCAAAATCTCACAGGAAAAGTACAAAAGTATTAGCGTCAAGTTAATGTTGCAGCTGTAAAAGTGGGGCTCATCTTAACTACTTAGTGTACTTTATTAGAGCTTGACAATAGAGTTTTGTCTTAATTTATAATGTTACATCATAATGTAGGCTATTTGTTCATTTTATTTTGCATAATTAGCTTGAATATGCAAAGTAACTAGTAACTAAATGTTAATGTTAGCCGCCTCAGTTAATGGGTAGTACGAAGCCTTGTGAACCGTGCAAATCCCCCTTACAGGATTCCTCCTCCTCCTCATCTCTGTTTTGCTCATAATAAAAATGAGTGGGCTTTATTTTTAGCGATGTCTGCGCATATGACACTAACTTATAGCCTATCATACCGCAACTTTTTTCAGCGTTGTTCACCTTTCTCTCGCTTGATTGCATCATCATAGAACAACTGGTGCATTGCAGCTTGTAGATTTGTGGGACTTGTAGTTTTTGAACGAATAACAGCAGAGGTAAAAAAAAAGGTTGTAATCTTTATTTGCAAACTGTATTTTTTTCAGTTTCCGCTTTTTTATTTTTAGGGGTGAGTGCGAGTGAAATACTGAAATGCCATGAGAAAACTGTAACCTTTTTATGAGCCTTTGAACATGAACTCCATTACATGTAAGCACACACACATGCACAAAAAAGACGAAGACAAAAACAACAACATGGAAACAAGAAGTGGAATACATTAATTAGGTGACTGTTTCCTGAGGGAAAGGATGGGTAGAATTTTATGTGAACTTGAGTTTCTTTGAAAGCATGAACATCCTGGTCCTTTGGGAACATCAAGACAAGGATGCATACTATATGTGGAGAAATAGCATTAACATCTCTGCTATACATAACTTTCCCAAAGGAAAAGAGCAGAGTAGATGAAAAGCACCGAAACACTGATACCTTCACCAATACAGTAACAAATTCAGTTACACACATTAAATACTGTACATTGACATGATTAATTCTGACATCAAACTGCAGTGACATCCTCAGAGGCATCCAAAGTTCAGAAAGCTTTTCTAGCCTGTTTTGCCTAATGAACAAGATCCTAATTAATGGGGTAGGTCTTTTATAGAAGTGCATTTTTCTATTTTTTGCCTTATTGAGCCTTTTTGGATCCCATAGACATCCATTTATTGAACTCACCATTCAACATAATTTAAACTTTAAACACAGCCATAGGAGGCATTAGCACAGTGGTTCCCAACATGGGAATAGGACAGAAGAATTTCTTTTTTTTTTTTTTTTTTTTGGGGGGCTTTCCTTAAAACGTCGTGAAATATCTAATAGTTTTATATGTTTGAACCTGAAACAATTTTGCAAATGATACAAGTGAAGTTCAGAGGGTGACAGAAAAGAAGATGTTCTTTAAACTGGCCAACAGTGCAAAACCCAAGCATATTCAATTTACCGTTACAGAAGACTAAGATAACCAGCAAGTATTTTCATTCAAGAAGACAGAACCAGTGACTTTTAAGCATTTTCAACCTGGTCTCACTCTTAGTGTGTCAAACACTGATACAAGATCAGTGACGTTACGGGTCAGATACCGACACACTGAGGCATCCTTTTGCAGCCGTATGAGAAGCACTGGGGGGCATACTGTGACGCTCCAAGAAACTGCTGTAGTATAAAGAGCAATAAAGTCTGTATAGGGTGGACAGGAGGGGAGGTGGATGGGTCAAACAAACTCCAGACTTTCACCTTGGAGACCTGCTGTTTGTGTCCTGTATGAAACCAAAAGTCAGCGGAGTTGTTTTAATAATGATGATATAGTGTGCTAGTATACCTAGACGTATGTCACTTGGTAAATTATGTCATGTAGTGTAACATTATGTTAGTAACAAATGTACTTATTTTAAGCGAAATCTTATTGATTTTCTAAACCTAAACCCTGTACTTTTGTTGACTGAACCTAAGGAAGTAAACCTAAAAACTTTTTTTTTTACCTTTGTTCCAAGTTTTTAAAAAAACAAAAAAACAGATTGTATGCATTTAATACGAGTAAGCTGTACATGTTAAAACTGTGATAATCTTTTATATTATGAAAAGACACAATGCATGTAAGGAGCATAAATGGACATGCCGTCCCTGAGCGTCCAAAACTGATGCTGGAAGGGCATCTAGAGCTTCATAGTTTGACCTTTAGGACCACTGAACAAGCATATTTGACAAGTTGGGAGTGAGAATGTGTTGATTTGTGTTTCAAAGAATCATTTGCACGATTATTCAGTTATCAAAGCTGTTGCTGATTTAGTCAATCAGTAGTCAAACTGCTCGCAACCCCTTCATTTCCCCAAAAGAGCATTATCCCTGTAATGAAGGCTACTCTCATATAATGTCAGTTGCTAAATCTGAATAGACATTACAAAATCAAATTAGCGAAACTTGGATCAAATCCAATGATATAGCCAGTCGTAAATGATCATGTTCCAGCAGCACTCTTCCCACCCTCCCGTCCTCAACATAAGGACTACTGAACCCTGCATAATGTTGACTGGTGATATTAACCAATAGCGACAGATATACATCTCTCTTAGTCTCCATCAGGGTCTTGACAGGGTCCTCCCCTGTCAGAGTGCAAAGCCAATCTGCTAGATTGATTAAGTGAGAGCAGCAGGGCAGAAATGGCTGAGTGGAGAATTTCTCAGAGACTCAGGACGACAGAAGAGGGCCAAAGGATCACAACTTGGCATAGATGAGCTTTAATAAAGAGCCAAAAGTAGATTGAGAAGGTATAAGAGACCTCCAGTTTCACACTTATCACAGATCATCACCTTTCTCCTTCACAGGGAGGCATCATCCTTTAGCTGAGAAGGCAATTCAGGATTTTGTGCCCTTTCTCCAACCACTCCTGTCCTGCTGCTCCACTACAGTTTATACTCTTTTAAGTTCTGTTTTCTTACCCTAAAAAACAAACACCTACCCTTAACCCAACAAACTCTCTCACTACCGTCATCACCACATCGCAGAGCTATTTTAAGATCCTCTGACAGGTTTGATATCTTATGCTGTGCTAACACAAAGAGGATGGGATCGATAGATGATCTGCTTCATTCATTATTAATCAGGCCAGAGAGCAAGAGGGGTGGGAAGTGCGGGAGACAGAAGGGGAAAGGTAGGAGAGACAGGAAAGAGAGCAGAAGATCGGAGAGGACAGAGGGGTTGCTGGGTAATAGAGGAGATTAAGAAGAGAGAGACCTGCTTCTTTGCATCTCCCTCAGGACCAAAGCAGGAGCGCTGGGCTGACAAGGGCTTTAGTCGCCAGCACCCAATGATCTGACACTCACGTCCCTATGGAAAAGAACCCAATGATCCAACAAAATACCCTTCAGCTCAACCTCAGGAATGACACCAGTGATAACCCCTCTCTCAAGTCATACTATAATTACCTAAATTAAATTAACTTAAATTAGCCTAATGATAGAACCCACATTTTCTGTATTTCATTCAAGTAATCTCCAAAGGATTGGAGGAAAAAAAGTACACTGAGAGAGCAGACAACTGAACTGACAACTGAAAACTAGAATAGCCGCTTTGTGGTTGTATGCCTCCGCCAAGCAGTCAAGTTGTAGTTTACATCCATGTCTGTCCAGAGTCATGCGTACTCATGACAGTTGACAATGCTTCAAATATGGATGTTGTTGCTCAAGGTGACCAACCAAGATTAGTGTCACCAATTCAGTATCTGACCAAATGTCTCCCCTTCTGCTGAGTTTTGGTGTTGAGTTATAGCCAGAAAAGTGTTTTTGTAGAACATTATGATGCCACAGTGAAGCTGACCTTTGATCTTTTGGATATGAAATTTCATCTCTTTATTTTAACCTATAAGACATTTGTGTGAAATTTTGTCATGACTAGCACATGAATTCTTGAGTTGTGGCCGAAAACATGTTTGTTGAGATCACAGTGACCTTAGACTTTTGACCACCAAAATCTAATCGGTTCATCCTTGAGTCCGAGTGGAGGTAGGTGCCAAATTTAAAGAAATTCCCCCAGGGCATTCCTGAGATATCACGTTCATGAGAATATGATAGACTCATGGCCACAGTGACCTTTGACCACAGAAATTTAATCAGTTCATCCTTGAGTCTGAGTGGACGTTTGTGCCAAATTTAAAGAAATTCCCTCAAATTGTTTCTGAGATATCATGTTCATGAGAACGGGACAGACATGAAGTCACAGTGACCTTGACCTTTAGCCACTAAAATCTAAGTAGCTCATCCTTGAGTCGAAATGCAGGTTTGTGCCAAATTTGAGGAAATTCCCTCAAGATGTATTTGAGATATCACGTTTACAAGAATGGGATGGATGGATGGGCATCCCAGAAATATAATGCCTTGAGCCACAGCTGTCGCTAGCGTGAAGGCAAAAAAAAATCTGACAGGCCTGTTAGCTGGTTTTTCCATGATAACCTGCCACAAGAGCCAAGATGCCTGTCCCTAACTGATACAAATATGCTGCTGTAATTATCTCCATCTCTGAAACTCACCTTGAGGTAACCTCTACCAGAACTATAGAGACATCCGGGGTGTACTGACTGAAGATATCACTCAAACCACCAGATTTACCTGCTCAGATGAATAATTGTTAAAGATGTGTTGAGGACGGCACATTTTTAAGAGTGATGGGGGAGTATTTCCATCTAAATGGTGTGGTGCTCGGACTAGAAATT